AGGTGCCTGCAAGGGTGCTCCCTCTTCTGGGCAGGAGGGGAGCCACACCGACTCACTAACAGGACGTCTGCAGGGTAGCGATGTGGTCTTCCATTCATACATTTACCAGACATTATTCACTGTCCACTGCATCAAAGGAAGATTCAAATGTAGGGAAAGCAATCCTACATTCCCTTCTGTGACGAGACTCCGAGTCCCGCCACTTGGAATAACAGCTTGGGTGTCAATTACAGTGTAATGGACATACGCAAGCACTTGAAGAAAAAATGGTTACTCATCTTCTTGTACCTGTTGTTCTTAAAGATGTGTTGCATATCTCCATTACATGACCTATCTTCCTTTCCCAATGCATCGAAGTCTGCTAGGGCTTTCTGTTAATCGCAGTTAACTCCTATGAATAACTCAAAAAAATTAATCATGATTAATCACAGTTTTAATCGCACTGTTAAACAATAGAATACCAATTGAAATTTATTAAATATTTGGGATGTTTTTCTACATTTTCATGTATTGTATTCTGTGTTGTAATTGAAATCAAAGTGTATATTTTTGATTATCATTTTTACAGTGCATATATTTGTAAACGAAAGAAATAATATTTTTCAGTTCACCTCATACAAGTACTGTAGTGCAATCTCTTTGTCGTGAAAGTGCAACTTACAAATGTAGATTTTTTTTGTTACATAACTGCACTCAAAAACATAACAATGTAGAACTTCAGAGCCTACAAGTCCACTCAGTCCTACTTCTTGTTCAGCCAATCGCTAAGACAGACAAGTTTGTTTACATTTACAGGAGATAATGCTGCCCTTTTCTTATTTAAAATGTCACCACAAAGTGAGAAGAAACATTTGCATGGAACTTTTGTAGCCAGCATTGCAAGGTATTTACGTGCCAGATATGCTAAACATTTGTATGCCCCTTCATGCTTCGGCCACCATTCCAGAGGACATGTTTCTAGGTTGATGACGCTTGTTAAAAAAATAATTCATTAATTAAATTTGTGACCGAACTCCTTGGGGGAGAATTATATGTCCCCTGTTCTGTTTTACCACATTCTGCCATATATTTCATGTTATAGCAGTCTCGGATGATGACCCAGCACATGTTGTTCATTTTAAGACCACTTTCACTGCAGATTTGACAAAACATAAAGAAGGTACCAATGTGAAATTTCTAAAGATAGTTACAGCACTCGACCCAAGCTTTAAGAATCTGAAGTGCCTTCCAAAATCTGAGAGGGACGAAGTGTGGAGCATGCTTTCAGAAGTCTTAAAAGAGCAACACTCCGATGCGGAAACTACTGAACCCACACCACCAAAAAAGAAAACCACCTTCTGCTGGTGGCATCTGACTCAGATAATGAAAATGAACATGCGTCGGTTCACACTGCTTTGGATCATTATTGAAGGGAACTTGTCATCAGCATGGACACATGTCCCCTGGAATGGTGGTTGAAGCATGAAGAGACACATGAATCTTTAGTGCATCTGGCATGTAAATATCTTGCAGCGCCGACTACAACAGTGCCATGAGAACCCCTGTTCTCACTTTCAGGTGACATTGTAAACAAGAAGCGGGCAGCATTATCGCCTGCAAATGTAAACAAACTTGTTTCTCTGAGCGAATGGCTGAACAAGAAGTAGGACTGAGTGGACTTGTAGGCTCTAAAATTTTACATTGTTTTATTTTGAATTCAGTTTTTTTTACATAATTCTACATTTGTAAGTTCCACTTTCATGATAAAGATATTGCACTACAGTACTTGTATTAGGTAAATTGAAAAATACTATTCCTTTTTTTTACAGTGCAAATATTCATAATCAAAAATAAATATAAAGTGAGCACTGTAAATGTATTGTGTTGTAATTGAAATCAATATATTTTAAAATGTAGAAAACATCCAAAAATATTTAAATAAATGGTATTCTATTATTGTTTAACAGTGCAATTAATCGCGATAAATTTTTTTAATCGCTTGACAGCCCTAGCATCTACCATCAGCTTCCAGTGTGAAGGATCTGAAGAAGGGGCAGGGTGAGGCAGTTCTGCCCTTTATATCCTCACTTTGGAGCACTAGGAGCTCAGCTGTTCATGGGGTTGATCCTATGGGTACTGATAGGGAAAATTCTCTGGCACTGGTACATGGGACACAAACACACCTACAGTGTAATGGACATATGCAACACATCTCAAACACCAGTTAAGAAAATGTGAATAACAGTTTTTTCTTTCTGAATAACTTCTCTAAGATATGGCCTTTTCTGTCCATCCACACAGCTAAAACTTGTCCCGGCTCTCATCGTCTTGTCTCAGTTACTGCAACATCCTTTTTTCTGGCCATGACAAATACAGTCTTCCCCACTGATATCCATTTAGAATACTGCTGCAAAATCATTTCCCAAGCCCATCACTTTATTTATGTCCCCCCTCTTTGAATCCCTTCACTACCTCCCTCTTCTTTATTGTTTCAAACAGAAGCTTCTTGTCTTCACTGTCAAGACCTTTAGTGAGCTATCTCCACCCTACCTGTCATCACTCATTCAGTATCTAAATGTCTACTCCCACCTCTGATCGACCCATGAAGTTAGCCTCTATTGCCTAAATTTGCAAATAAGCACATTTGTGCTTTCACCCATGCTGCCTCTCATGCCTGAGACAAGCTCACTGTAAACATCCACAAAAAAAACCTCATGATCCTCCTTCAACACCCTCCTTAACTCTCTCCTTTGCCGTGAGACCTATGAAAACATAGACAATGGTTTGACTGCTGGTGTGCTGAGACCATAGCCTACCATGCTGACCATATTGTCTCATTGTTTCCTTGTACTCCATCATCTATCTGTATCCATCTGTTGTCTTTTATCTTAGACTTAGATTGTAAACTCAGTGGGGCAGGGACTGTTTTTTTGTTTCATGTTTGTACAGTGCTTTCCACAGTGGGGTCCTGGTCCATGACTGTGGCTCCTAGGTCTTACAGTAATACAAATAATAATATAGGATTGACAAATATGCATTAAATAATAAAAATAATTTAGTTTCCAAAGAGATTTGTCATAGAAGTTGAAAAGTAAGTCTTCTAGGCTAAGATGTTCCTTAGGGTGTGTGTCCATTGATTTGATGGACTTTGGATCCCGATTCAGTAAAGCATATAAGCATCTGCTTAAATCCAGTTGAAGAGGTTGCTACAGAGTCAGATGGATTTAACCACATGCTAAAGTGCTGAATAGGGATGGATTTAAACACCTGATTAAAGTTAAGGATGTACTTTCAGCTGAGTTGGGTACCTAATTCCCTTAGGTTACCTTGAAAATTCCAGCATTAGTGCTTTTGCTGAATTAAGGTCTTAGTTCTTTAGTATTTCTTTTTATGAAGCATCAAAACCTGAATTAAGTTTTTTCTTTGTTTCTAAGTTGTAGTGGTGATTTGAGGTTTGAGTTGTGTGGATTAAGGAATAAGCCATATGTTTTTGCCAATATAGAGTTTGCTCTCTCTTTTAGGTACCAATCACACTCTGGAGCGGACTCTCCAAAGTGGATATACGCTGGCAACAAATGTCTAGCAGAGAATTCTCCACCTGCAGAGGGGAGTTCTCCAGTGGTGGAAGGGGCATAGCTGCCTCCTGCACCAGCCACTCCCCATCCCCCAGCATAGGGGACATGGTAGAGCAGAGGTCCCCTACACCCAATACTCCTCTGGCATATGGTCACTGAGAGACCTTATGCCACTGATGTAAGTTACAGTTGCTCTTCAGCAATTCTAACTTACACTGGAGTAAGACTGTGCAAGATCAAGAGCTACAAGATCCTTGAAATCCTCCCCCCTCCGCCAGGGCCCACGAGAGGGGGAGGAAGCCGGTACAAATTACCGGGGCCCGGGGGTCTGGAAGGGGGCCTGGGGCCCAGCTTCCCCCCCCCCCATTGGCCCTGTTTAGCCAGTCCGCCCTTGCTGGGGGGGGCCCGAAAATTTTTTTTCACCGGGGCCTGAACCTGTTCTCGGCGGCCCTGCCCGCCCCTGAAGTTCAGTGGCAGATGAGAGTTTTAGCCCCATGGCTAGTCCCATTGACTTCAGTGGGACAACTCACTGTATGTACGTAAAGTTAAACACATGGTTAAATCTTTAAAGGAACACAGTCTTAATTTGTGTGTCTTTGTAGTAGGTCAGGGTTAATACATATTTTAAGTGACCTTTTTGAATAGAAGCAAAGTACTTTTATTATGTTTTATGGAATGCAGCATAAGTCCAACTGGATGACATAGCAATGGAAAACTTCCCCAAAAGAATCTTAACTGCAGGGCTTTCCAGTCAGCTCTGTTTCATCTGAACCTGCAGTTTACTTAAGTATGTTGCTAGTTAATTGAAGTTAAGGTAGTAATATTGTGAAATTACGAGGCATCGATGGGTACCAATTCTGTAAACTGGATTACCTGAAGGAAATATTGAATGACAATAAATGTTTATAGGCAGTTTTAGTGGTAGTAAGCAGAGCTCCATTTCTTTTCTTTTAAATCAGTGTGAACTGAGTAAGTCTGTATGGGTCTGATCCTGCACATTGCTCTGCACAAGTGTTCAGCTGCACTCACACAGAGCCCCATGTGAAGCTCCATGCAGGTTCAAGGGTCCATTATGCAGCGACCCATTGACTTCAGTGGGGCTTTGTGCTGGTGCAGTAGTCTGCCCATATGAATTCATAGGCAGGATTTGAACCTTTCAGAGTTGTTTTGTCGCTGCTGATTTAAACAAGAAAGAAAGAAAATGCTTCTGACAAAAGAAAGAAAACTCTTACTACCACTAAAACTACCATTAACACTTATTCTCTCCTTTGACTTTTTCTTCAGATAATTACTTTGAGACTATGCAGCAAAGAAACACATTAAGTACTATTAATGCTAAGATGATCCAAATATTCATATTGTAGATAGCTTCATGTGGCTTCATTCTGTAAGTGTAATTTTTGTATGGAAAATTGTAAATAAAAAAAAATTAATTCTCTGTACTAGGATATATCGAGGAAGAACATATGCTAAACGACAGCAGTATAAAAATGCAACCGAAGACTTTTCTGCTGCAGTTCATCTAGATCCTTCTAATTGGTTAGCATTCTATTGCAGAGGTTGCATACTGCGAAAGATTGATCCAAAGAAAGCTCTGCAGGACTTCAGTGTTTCTGGTATTATTTCCTAGTGTCAATACTGAAAGGGAGAGAAGTTCTGTACTGGTACCAGTGCTGTTCAACATATTCATAAAGGAGCTGGAAAAGTGGGGGAACAGTGAAGTGGCAAAATTTGCAGACAGTCAAAATAGTTAAGTCCAAAGCTAACTGCAAAGAGTTACAAAGGCATCTCACAAAACTGGGTGATTGGGCAAGAAAATGGCAGATGAAATTCACTGTTGATAAGTGCAAAGTAACGCATATGGGAAAAATAATCCCAACTAAACATACAAAATGATGGGGTCTAAATTTAGCCATTACCACTCAAGAAAGATCTTGGAGCTATCGTGGATAGTTTTCTGAAAATATCTGCTCAGTGTGAAGTGGCAGTCAAAAAAAGCTAACAGAATGTTAGGAACCATTAGGAAAGGGATAGATAATAAGACAGAAAATATCATACTGCCACTATGTAAATCCATGGTATGCCCACACCTTGAATACTGTGTGCAGTTCTGGTTTCCCCATCTCAAAAAAGATACGTTAGAATTGGAAAAAGTACCGAGAAGGGCAACAAAAATGATTAGGGGTATGGAACTGCTTCAGGGATGACTTGAGGGGTGACATTACAGAGATTTATAAAAACTTGAATGGTATGGAGAAAGAGAATAGGGAAGTATTATTTTCTCCTTCACATAACACAAGAACTTGGGGTCACGATGAAATTAATAGCAGCAGGTTTAAAACAAACATGAAGTACATCTTCATACAATGCACAGTCAACCTGTGGAACTTGTTGCCAGGGGTTGTTGTGAAGGCCAAAAGCATAACTGGGTTCAAAAAAGAATTAGAAAAGTTCCTGGAGGATAGGTCAATCAATGGCTGTAAACCAAGATGGTCAGGGATGCTGTATTCACTCTGCACTTTGTCCCTTTTAATTTGTATTAATTTAGTGTTAGTATTGGATATTGGCTGTTAGCCATTTTCAGTTATTTCCCACTGTTTCCAAATTCCCCCTTTGTTTTATTTTAATCATTTGAGAGTAGAAGTAATAAAGAATTATAATTATATACTTGTATGTACTTGCTCCATTTTATACATACCATTTTTCATGGTACATAAACTGGTTTCTTTGCATGGTGGTCCCACCAGTTAGTTTATACTTCACTTATGATATTAAATATAACACTAAGAAAACTAGAATAAAAGTAATATGCAGATAAGCTATATAATAACTAAAATTTAAATGTGAATATCGAAAAGTTACAATTAAAATATATTTTTTCCCCCAGTGCTCCTCAATGACTCTTTTGAAAATCTCAGTTCTTTCATTCACCGTGGGATCTTATACTCAGAACAATGTCAGTGGTCACTAGCGATCTGTGACTTTGAAAATGCACTGGCTCTGGACAGGTGATTGGACTTTTAATATAGAGTATACCACTTTGAATTAGCTAAGGGGGAAAACTTATGTTTACATCCATCAATCTATGTCTGTCTGTCTAAGTACTGCTATGACCCCTATCAATGTAGACTTACAAACATTTATGAATTTATCCTTTATGAAACAGGAAAGCATTATTATTCCTATGTTAGAGATAGGGAACTGAGCAACAGAGAGATTAAGAATGGGATTTTCAAAAGTGTCTAAGTGACTTAAGGTCACCTTTTGAAAATTCCACCCTCATTGACTTGCCAGAGATCACATGAGAATGTTGTGCCACAGCTGGAAATGAAATAGGGTCTCCTGCATCCCGGTGCAGTGCCTTAAGCAATATTATTCTTCCTCTTATTTGTTGGAAAACAATACGTATTTTCTGCAGCCCACCATCTCCCACAGTTCTGGACATCTGAGCTGCTCACCTCAGGCTACAGCTTCACAGAGACAGATCAGTGTTTTGGCTCCACATCCCTCTGCTCCTGCTTGCTGCTAGAGTCTCTGGCTCCATGCCAACAGACAGTGGCAGTTTCTGTTGCTCCTGCTCTTACCTTGCAATTTGAGCTGTTTCTACCCCGCTTTTGGGCGGGGATGACAGCATTCTCCCTCTCCAACATTCCTTCCCCTCCCTGGGTCAATTAACCCCGAGGGGTTTAACCCTCTCTGAGCCTCCGCTTCAGTGTCTCACTGCTGGCTCCTCTGTCCCTTGCAGGTGTGGCGAGCAGCCAAGAAAGCACAGGGTTAAATCCAAACAGTGCTCTGTTTGTAAGGCAGGCTCCAGGGTGAGTGGTGCCCAGCCTGCACCCAGCCTTCTGTCCCTAATCTCTGTTAGGATTCAGGGCTACGAGTCAGACAGGCAGGTAGGGTCCCCAACTCATCAAGGCAGCCATGACTCCATTGCAGGAAAATGGACCAGGAACCCCAGTGCAGAGCAGGGAAAAGCTCTAAAAGCAAGGAGGACCCAGACCACTCAACAACGGGGGTAAGTCCCAAGGGACCCCTGCACAACAAAGAGGGGAGTCTGTGGGTCCACAGATCCCTCAAGTTGTAAAGTGGGTCCCAAGCACCCTGAGGAAAGAAGCAGGCCTTCTAATCAGCCCCACTCCCTCCCAAGATGACCCAGAAGGCTCTGACTGAGGAGTTTCCCCCTCCCGGGGGGTTGGGCACAGTAGGGAGGATTCTGAGACTGACCTCTTGAAGGGGCTCCAGGCACTAAGGAAGGCAAACAGCAAAAGGCCTCATCAGAGCTGCAGCAGGGCTTCTATAATCCCAAAGCGCACAAAAAAGGTTAAAAAAAATTAAAAAGGAACAAAAGGGAAAGAAAAAGCACAGAAAGTATGAGTCCTCTGGCTCCTCTTCCTCCACCAAGGAAGGTAAGCTGTCTGATTCTGAATTGAAACAGGATGGGGGAAAAATGCAGGAAAGATTCCGCCCCCCCCCCCAAGACATCTCAAACTATGTGCAATCAGATTGTTTCCAGGCTTCAAATGCAACCTGAGCAGGCTCCTGTGGGTAAGCCTGAGTAAGTTTCTCCCCTCAAAATCTTCCCCTGAGGCAGCAATACTCCTTCTTCAGGGAAGTGATCAGTGATGAGTGGAACAAGCCTGATAAGAAATTAACAAGAGTCACCTCAGGCTATATAACATTCAAGAACCAAAGGGCTCTGTTGCTGACTTACCAAAGGTGGACGCCACTGTAGCATCCTTCACCAGAGATATGGTTATTCCCTCAGAAGAGGAGATCTACTCTAAGGACTCCATGGTTAGAAAGATGGAGGCTACTCTCAGAAAGGATTTTGAAGCCTCTTCCACCACTCTCCAAGCATCCCTGGCAGCTATATACTCTGGGTTCTACTACATCTTTTTAATTGTGCAGAAATGCACAGGATGGGGGCAGGGGTAGGGGACTAGTATCAAAGCCATTGCTGACCTCAAAAGGCTTAACAAGTGGATGAATAAAATGAAGTTTCAGATGAAGACACTGGCCTCTGTGGTGTCATCCCTGTCTCAGTGGGACTTCTTGACTTCAGTAGATCTAACGGATGCATATCTCCATCAGATCATGTCTCCTCATACTTCTGAGGTTTGCTTATGGTAAGAAATGTACTGAACACTTCCATTCAGCCTGTCCTTGGCTCCCCCGGTTATTTTATGAAAGATGTTTGTAGGGATAGTAGCCAGACTCAGGTGATAGACCCACCTGTACCCTTTCCTGGATGATATTCTGATCAGAGCTCCATCGTAATTAGCAACACACTGTGTCACATCTTGGATGTTGAATCTCCTCCTGGAGCATGGCTTAATCATCAGTGCCAAGAAAAGCTCCCTGGTTCCATTCACCAGAATAACCCATCTGGGGATGGAAATAGACACCTTGGTAGCAAGGATCTACTCATCATTAGAAAGATTTCAGAAAATCTAAGATTTTATCATCTTGCTCCAGAGTTGCAGGGGACCTACCATAGCATTATGACTCCAATTGCTAGGTCTCTGGGTGTCATGCATAGGGATCACTCAGGTCAGGCAATGCAGCAAGGCAGGGTCAGGTGAGGCAGAAAGGCAGAGTCCAAGGAGCAACTAGCGGACAATGGCTTGTTGCTCAGAGAAGGCTAGAAAGGAAGCAGGAAGTTTATATATGGTCACCAACCAATCCGGGTCAAGATGATGTGGCCAGTCAGGAAGCAAGTTGCAGAATCCTGATAGCTGGTCCACCCAAGTCTGCGAATTCCCTGATAATTGGATGAGTTGGCATGGCGCAACAGCCAAGACCACTTCCCCACTGGATCTAGGTTCAGGACCAGGGTTCGAGACCACATCCTGACACCACATAGTAGGCATCCTGTTCGACAGGATAAGATGGACCTCAGCGGGTGCTTTGAAAAAAGTGAGCTGGGTATAAACACGTATTAATTATAGTTGATTACGCCATCCACTATCCCAAAGAAATCCCACTGCACAGCCCCAATGCAAAGACTAATGCAGCGGAACTGCTAATTGTCTTTGCCAAAGAAGGGATACCTAAGAAGATCCTCATTGATCAAGGCACCAATTTTACATCTCAGCTTCAGAAGGAGGTCTGTGGTCTACTAAAAATAAAGATTATGGACCTCTGATTACAATCCGCAAGTGCTGGTTGAACGATTCAGCTAGATCCTGAAAAGGATGTTAAAGAAGTTTATTGCTCAGGACCCCCATCACTAGGATCAGCTGATTTCTCCCCTGTTATTTGCTGTTTGAGAAGTTCCACAATCATCTACTGGGTGGATTTGAACTCTTATATGGGAGACAACCTCTGGGAATTCTTGGCCTAGTCCATGAGATATGGGGAGGAGCAGGCTGCTAGGATGGAGAATGTTATATAGTACATACTGGAAGCTCTGGGAGAGGCTTGAAACCCAATGGACCTTTGCAAAAGAAAACCTCCTCAGTGCTCAATGGACCTAGGAGCAAGCCTATAACAAAGGAATGCATATTTAATCTGGGTGATTGGGTACTTCTACTCCCGAACGCAGAGTCCAACTTACTTGCTAACTGGGAAGGGCCATATGAAGTAGTCCACCAAGTTGGGCCAGTTAACTACTAAATCAGGTAACCTGACAAGAGGATACCATATTCTGAAGACATGGAAGGAGCCGGAGAGCTTATTTATCACTCCTTAACCCCCTGAGCCTGAGCTGGGGCCCCAAGTGGTCCACCTCACTGATCCCAGACCCTATACAGATGGGGGAACACCTCTGCCTGGAACAGAGGGTACAAGTAAGAAGCCTAGTAAAAGCTTTGACAGTGTTTAATCTCCCAGCTGGGGCGGATTCATTTCATGCACCATATCCAGACAGAGCCTGGGCAACTTCTCTGGGAGAACCCATGACCACTCTCCCCAAAAATACATGAGGCCATTTGGCAAAAGGTCCATGCAATGTTGGAACCAGGGATCACTGAAGAATCCCTCAACAGCTGTACCAAAGCTTGAATGCTGGACAGCATTATCTGGTTCTGTATAGATTTTAGAAAGATCAATGCTGTCTCCAAATTTGATGCCTACGCTATGCCCTGAGTTGATGAAATAATAGACCAACTGGGTGAGGCCTGATATATCACCTTGTTAGACCTAACCAAGGGAAGGTGGCAGATCCCACTTCACCAGAATCATGGGACAAAAATGCCTTTGCCATGCTGTTCGGCTTCAGTGATTTTAGAACTATGCTTTTGGCCGCTATGGTGCCCCAAAAATGTTTCAATTGCTCATGGATCAACTTCTTCAACCACCTGGCTCATATGTAGTAGCCTATTTAGATGATGTGGACATCCACAGCTGAGATTGGGAGGAGCATCTAGCTCAAGTTGCCTCTGTACTTTGGTTCCTATGGGAGGCTGGGCTAACTGCAAACCCAGCCAAGTCTAAGATTGGAAAAGAAGAGACAATCTACCTGGGATATACTTTGGAGAAGGGCCAGATCCAGCCTCTCTTGGACAAAGTTCAGGCTTCAAAGAATGCCCTATCCCAGCCATGAAGAAACAAGTCCAAAGATTTTTGGCACTGTCAGGTTACTACCGCCGATTTGTACCAAGTTTTCGATGATAGCAGCCCAGCTCACAGACCTAATTAGGACAGTAGCCCCAAGAAGGTTCACTGGTCTGAGGCCTGTGAAAAAGCCTTTCAGAAGTTGAAAAACCACCTCCTCAAAGAGCCTGTCTTGCTCAGTGTTGACTTCTTCAAAAGAATTCATTTTGCAAATCGATGCCTCAGAAGTGAGACTAAGCAAAATGTTGTCCCAGGAAACAAATGGAGAGGAACACCCTGTACTCTATCTGAACTGCAAGCACAGAGTGAGAAGAGCTCACCAAAATGCTGATTTTTGTCCCCCTGGAGTTGGGGGCACCAGAGACAGTCTGCTGGCTCTGGTTCTCCAGATACCATCTGGAGGGGGAGGGTATGCGATGAGGTATACAAACTCCATACTGGACAACAAGGGGCTAAGGAGCTGCTCTGGGCCTAGACAGTTTAGTCCTATCACACTTGCAAGGCATGCATAGGTTGGAGGAGGAGCTTAAAAGGGGAACAGAGCAGCTCACATGTTGGCGGACCAGGGAAGACAGTAGACCTTCAGCCTTTTTCAGCTCCTGAGGAAAGGACTGACTGAAGGCAGGAGCTTCCCAGATGACCACTTGCCTGAAGGCCACTCCCTGAGGGAAAGAAGGGCCAGATTCTGACGCATCCTGAGAGGGAATCATTCCCCTCTATTTCTTATTAATTCCCCTTGCTTTTTGTTCATGGACTACCTGGGAAAGAGAGAGACTTTAAAGTGACCTGACTGGAGGCCAAGTCACAGGAAGAAGCAGGCCACCACAGAGGCGGAGCAGCCATCGGCAGGAGACGCCCAGTGGGGAGTGAGCTGCTATGCCATGCCCAGCCACAAGGTGGTGCCAGTGGTGAGTCAACCCCTTCACAATACCCCAGGGGGGCAGTGGCACTTCATGGTCTATAGCATCAAAGGCAGCTGATAGAATAACATCAGAATGGAGACGTGGTGGCAAAAAATCAACAACCAAAGAAACTAATGAACCCTCTGTATTAAATTCAGCCTTGAAACCAGACAGACAGGGATCTAGGAGGAAATCAGAGGAATGCTGATGAAACTAGACTTGCATATCTCAGCCTTCTAATAAACATCCACCAAAAAAGGTGCAGTCCATGTTTTGGAGAAGTCACTAATCATGCATATATACAGCTACCAGTGTTCAAGGGAATTAAAAAGGGAATTAGTTAAGCATTTGATGTGTGTTATGCAAGCAAATAGGTGTAACTCAAAGCCTACCTTTTGACTGCTTACAGATGTGTTTTTATAATACTATAGTAATTAGATGAAACATGTTGTATTGGACATTGATGTATACAACAAAGTATTTTATATTGTATGACAAAATGAAAAATAAGATAATCTTTATTCTTTTTTAGTGGTATTGCCTTGGCTTACATAAATATTGGCTTGATATTACTGTTACATCTGGATCATTACTATGAAGCTATTCGACAGTTCTCTAAAGCCATTGAAGTTGATCCCACAAACATTAGAGTTTATATTTGTAGAGCTCAAGCATATCATCAGGTATTTTATTCTTTTTGGTCTTTTATATCATTATAACACTACATTTACATTTTATAGTTGCTATGAAAAACATTTTAATAGATACTTATGCCCTGGTCAGGGCCGGCTCCAGGCACCAGGCACCCAAGCTGGTGCTTGGGGCGGCACCTGGAGGGGGGCGGCGCGGCGCTCCGGCCGCCGGGGAGAGCGGGGCCACAGCCGGGCTCGCCGCCCTCCCCCCGGCGCTCTGGCCGCCCTCCCCCTGCTCCCTCCCCCCGGCCGCCAGGGGGAGAGCGGCGAGCCCCTGTCGGGGCTCGCTGCCCTGCGCTCTGGCCGCCGGGGTGGGGGGAGAGCCGAGCCCCCGCCGGGGCTCGCCGCCCTGCCCCCGGCGCTCTGGCCGCCGGGGGGGAGAGCCGAGCCCCCGCCGGGGCTCGCTGCCCTCCTCCCAGGGCTCCAGCCGCCGTCCCCTCCGGCGCCCTCCCCCCGCCGCCGGGGGGAGAGCGGAGCCCCCGCCAGGGCTCCGGCCGCCCCCCCGGCTCCGGCCGGCTGCCCCCCCCCCCCCCCCGGGGGGGGGGGGGGGGGCCGGCGGCCTTTTTGCCTGGGGCGGCAAAAAAACCAGAGCCGGCCCTGGCCCTGGTCCTTCAAAGACTTACATGCTTAACTTTTTGGACAATAAGTACCCATATTGATTTCAATGGGATTATGTGCAATGCATAAAAAGCACATATGTAAATCTTTGCAGGGTTGGGATCAAAGGCAATAACAGATAATCCTATCTGTAGTAACTGTAGTTGTAAAGCCTTCCTCCATGAGCTGAATATTTAGAGCTCTATGGGCTTTTTAGGGCCTTACCTTGCCATCAATCAATCCTCAAACAGTGGAATGGATAAAATAATAGTAAGAGGTAAGATTAATAGATAAGCTTTTGTAAAATATTATAAAAACAGTTTAGGAAGTTTGCATGTTTGTATCTTTTGTCAGGATTAAGGATCTCTGTGGTGTTTTAGGCATTTGTTTTAGTGTCACCATTAGATGTAGGGAGAATAGAAAATCCTGACATTGGGTGTTGGTAGATAAAGCAGAAGCTCATTAGCAAATATTTTGTTTTACACTCAATGGGGTAGAAAAAGTGGTTAAAGAGTATGTACGAGTAACTGAATTGTTTTTTGTAAATAACAGGTGCACAATTTACAGCGTGCATTAAGAGATATAAATCGAGCCATTCATCTTTATCCAACTGAATCCTATTTATGCATAATAAGGTAGGAAAATTATCATTTAGAACTTAACAAGTATTCCACTTCACAACTGTTGTTTGAAACACAGTAAAAACATCAACTATATTAACACATCTACTAAACAAGCCTAGTTAATGATAAGAATCAGATGGTAATAAAATTTAAAAGCACTTTTCATCCTTTACAAATTATATCCATGTAGTAGCACCTCACTGGTGTTACCTCTGGTATGGAGAGAAGGATCCAGCATGATATACAGGATGCAAGGTATGGGGAAGGGGGAGTGTGAATATGAACAGTGACAACAGGGCACACCTAAACTCTTCTAAATTCATCATTTAAATGTCCATTCAGAGTGGATAAATATTTCAGTGTCCTATCTGAAGAAACGACACAGTAAAATAAGGGTGACGTGCTGAGTCCAGCCTTTCCCCTAGGCTTGAACCTATGAGTTCAGAGAGAGTAAATATTTCAAACCTGATATTTAGCTGTTCTCTCCAGCTTAGCCTAAAAGCTCCATTTATGTGTAGCTTCACTCATTTTCTCTGTAAATCTGTTTCTGTCTTCACAGAAAATAATTTTACTAAAGCTCTTCCCGCTCCTAGTCTTTTTTATATACTCGGAGAATCTCAAGATTCTACCACCATTTGCTCTTTTTTCCTTTTCTGGTCTTTATTTGGTCTCAGAAGCCAAATCTGAGCTTCCCAGACTGTTCATGAATGTCCTTAGTATTTTCTGCAGAGTTGGTGGTTTTTATACAAGCTTCTTATGGCTTGTCTAGAACCAGTGCACCATTTGGCATATCTAAATCCTGCCTGTCACTACAGGCATGTGCAGTTTGAGAAACTCTCCTTTGGCTGGTGTGGATTTCCAAAACTCTGTGAAAACTGACGTATTGACTAATGAATCCATATGGTTCCTAATGCATGCATAAAATACATTTTTAGTCATGAACTAATTCCTTCACTCCACTCCTCCCAAATTAGTGAAAGGTACCAGCCCTTGCTAAGTCAAACAGATAAGCCAGTTTTCATCTGAGGGGAACCAAATAAACTGTAGGAAATGTTAAAAAAGTGAGGACATCTCATTGTCATCTCATCTCAGTGCAGAAGGCCCACTCACTGCTCTATGCATCAATTAAAACTCACATTAAGGACTTAAAGTGAGGCTGTACTCTAAATAGTAAATATATGAAATTGTAGTCTTAATCAATATTCCTTGTGTGCATTTCAAGTCCTCTCTGCTTACTTTAGGAACAATAATAATTTTTACTGCTTTTTACTCTTATCAGTACTATAGAGCTGCAACAAACTTAAGAGGGAATGGGCAAAAAGTTAGTCCTTCTTGTTCATCATCAAAAGAGTTGTTTACTAAGTTTCAGTCAATCCCACCTCTGTTACCCCAATAGCAAGAATGGGGTTGTGCCGGTATCTCTGAAGGCCTGATTTGGCTTGCAAGTACATTTACTACTAATGGTGATGCATGGGAAAGAAAGAAACCTAGCATGGCCTTCAGAATCAGATTGAATTTACCTACAACCACTCTATGGCAAAACAACATTGATTTTAGAAATAGTGTTATTAACAATATTTGCATAGTTCTAGAGGTAGTGTGTGTGCTCTATTTGCTGTGGAGCCCACAGAAAATGTGTTTTTTGTGAGCCTTGCAATTGAATAGCTATACATTTTTAAAATTTCTTGGTGATAGTGTTTTAAAAAAGTATGTGCAGAAGGAACAAGAGGAAAAACCTGGATGGTATTCCTTTGAAGATGTGATTCTTACTAGAAACTTTAGACTTTTACTTACTCCTGCATTATTTGTACTTTTAAAATACTGCTTAAATAAGAAATCTCAGCCTGAAAAAATGGTTTCATAATGAGCAAATTACACACAACAAAAATTTCTTTTGTTACAGGGGACAATATTTAATTGAGATGAAGGAATATAAACTTGCAAGCTTCTGTATTCTTCAAGTAGCAGAAATGGGCGACGGTAAAGTCAGTTTAATTGTCTAGGTTCTTATTAACCATAGTATCTGAGCCCTAATGTAAGGAGTAATTTAACTACTGTAATTTATTATAAGGAATTGTGACACTTCCTTATGTTGCTTGCAGTTTTTTCACTTACCTTTCTTTACTTGGGCTGTTTATGTTTATATTTTGACTTATAAATAAGGCTACGTTTTAGTAACATTTTAGTAAAAGTCATGGACAGTAAACAAAAATTCACGGCCCGTGACCTGTCCATGACATGTACTATAGACCTCTGACTAGATCTTGTGGTGGGGGCAGCCCGAGGGTGCTAGGGTTGCTCGTGGGGGGGGGGGGTGCCACGGGTGCTCGGGGGTGGCCTGAGACCCCTGCTGCTGCTGGGGGGGGGGGGGGGGTGGGGCTGGCAGGCTCCCTACCTGGCTCTGTGCCTCCCCAGAAGCGGTGACATCCCCCTCCCTCAGTTCCTAGATGGAGGCACGCCCAGGCAGCTCTGCGTGTTGCCTCTGCCCTGAGCGCCGACTCCGCAGCTCCCATTAGCTGGGAACCATGGCCAATGGGAGCTGCAGGGGCGGTGCCTGCAAGCGGAGGCAGCGTGCCGAGACCCCTAGCTATGCCTTTGCCTAGGTGCCGAGGGATGTCGCTGCTTCCGGGGAGCCCCCTGAGATAAGCACCACCCAGAGCCCTCACCCTCTCCTGCACCCTAACCCCCAGCTCTGAGCCCCCTCCCACACCCAAACTCCTGCTGCTGCTGGGGGAGGGGGTGCGGTGGCCCGAGACTGCCCCAGCAGCGGCCAGTGCGGCTGGCCCAGGGGCTGCCGGGGCTGCTCATGCGGCCCCGGGGCCAGCCACACCAGAAGTCACGGGCCTTCATGACAAATTTGCAGCCTTACTTATTGGTAATAGAACGTTATGTGGAATTTATGATTATACTTTGTATTTACTTAGGACGTTGCTTACTAAGATATCAAATGGCTTTACAAACATTAAACTTCATAACATACCTGTAAGGTAAAATACTACAATGGCTATAGTAACCCTTGTGGGTTGTAATAGTGGTCTCAGAGTGGCAGAACAAGTGCCCCATGCCCTCAGTGGGGGGTTGATTCTGTTGTTCCGTTGACCCCTCAGCAATGCCTGTGTAATTGTTTGGGGTTGTCTTTTTCCTTTCTTTCTTTGGAGAGGGGAAGTTTGCGGATGCCCATGATTCGACTCTAACTTTGCTGCTTATAGTTGAAGTTTTCTACTCCAGGCTTTGATGTGAAAGGATTAAAACTCAATTCTTAAAAAATTGTTTGTGTTTTGGTATAGCAGTTAAAGCAAACAACTTTGGAGTCTCATGGATTTTTGAACAATGTAAAGTTTGTTTATCCTATGAAACTACCTTATATTTAGAACATGCAGTGTGAAATAATATAATATTGTGACCATTGTTTGTTTGTTTGTCTTTCTTATTTTCAGTATCCTTTAAAACCTCTCCTGTTCAGCAAGCGCTCGTTCAGTCATTTTGTCAAAATCACAGTAAAGCTATAGAGTGCTTAGCTGAGGTTATTGCAAATCAGCCTGCGCCTTCCATGTTTGTTCTGCTAGGAAAAATACAAATGAAAGCCAAGAAAACCAAGGTTAGAAAATTCTTTTTAAACTATTTACAGTAAAATGCCAAGCAATACAATGTCTTGGTTTCTATAGCCTTGATGCTTTACAGAGTATCTTATTTTATCAAATATTCCCTGAACTTCAATGTTTACATTACAAAAGGGAATAGTAACACTCTTTTCAGCTTAATGCTCCTGCACTAATGTTTCAGTAAGTATTACACAGTGTTGTTTAAAACCATGTAAAATTTAGTTAGAAGAAATATAATTATGTAGGCTGGAGTTCAGTTAAATTTCATAATGTTGCTTTTTTCAAAACATAAAAAGAAAGCAGTGTGCAAATACTGTAATATCTAATTGAGCTAGAGGCAATACAAAAGTTTGGTTGCTTCATATTTGTAGAACGAATGTACAAGAATTTTCAGAGTGATTATTGTATAACTAGTCCCTCAGCCTTGTGAATACAGTACTTGCTTCCCATTGTGCGTTACCAGTAGAAATATCATACTGTTGCTCCTTTGACCCAAGCAGTTAGACAATAATCATGGCCTTGCAGGGTTATTTTCATTAGGAGGAGAAATAGATGATACAAGTCAGGCATTTCTTTTGGTGCAATCCTGTTTATTTACAAAGAATGTACAGCAAGCCCTGTTTCCTCAAACACACTAGAAACAAACTGTACCTGGCAGTTTCCTTGTTCAAAAATCCCCAAGTCTGCCTCTCTAGCAAGTTCTGTGTCCAAGAAGCTCCATCCCTCTGCTTCGTCTCAGGATCATGCTCATAACTGCTTCTCTGGCTTTCTCCTGTATTGCACACACATGCACATAGCTTGCAGAAACAAAACACTTATATCCTGTGTTTCCACTAGGCAAAACCCCTTGACCCATATCATCATACAGCCTAGTGCCTTAGGCAGTAGCCTCCATTATTACATCCATTTCACCACAGAAAAGGGGCTTAACTTTTTCCTTATACTGCACCTGAGAGAAAGGTGATTAGCTCATCCATTGGTTTTAACCATGGCCGTGATAGTTTTTGGATCAACGGCCCCTTGATGGCAGCCATTAGTAACTTTCAGCATAATCGTACTCTAGGCATTAGGGATAGATCCTGAAAACATGCTGTCATGGTTGCCGGTCTATCTGTACCACTATCCCCTTTCTGGTCTCTCTGAGTGCACCACCTCAGATGTCAAGCCTTGTGCCTTTACCTCTCCCAGAGTGGAATTCTGCAATTCTGCCACTCTTAGAATGGTCCCTGTATCGACTATGCTTGCTGATCAGGTCTGACTGAGTTCTGGCACCTTCGGGTGTATGTGACCAGTGGTATACAGTAACCAAACAGTCTTCTTAAAACCAAAGTATTGTTTATTTTAACAGTAGGAATAAAGCATTTAGAGAGAGAGGATTTTAAAACAACAAACCGTCTATATGCATGTCTGTCCTACCACTCGGATACCAAAGAATTTGCTCTGAGGAGAAAGTTCGGGATATACACCTTAATGCACTTACAACTGCCTTCACCAAACAAGGACACTCCACCAGAGAAGTAGATTGCATCATGGACCAGGCCACACAAATATCCCAAGAGAACTTACTTCAATTCAGAAATAAAATCCCCTCTGACTGCACACCCCAGTTGTCACCTTCCACCTCAAACTGGAATCCGTACTGGGTATCAAACAACTACAACCCATACTTGATGGGAACCCATTCCAAAAGAAATATTTTCTGAACCCCTTCTGGCCTTCAAACACCTTCCCAACCTCTCCAAGATCATCATTAGAAGCAAGTCCCTCAGACCAGGACACATCAACTTAAGGTGGCACCAGACACTGCCACAACAACAGCTGCAAAACCTGCAGACATATCTCACTGCTATGATGATCAACACCCCCCACAACATGCCTATCACAGCATGTGGTATACCTCATTTGGTGCATTAAATGCTCCAATAGTAGCTATGGGGGGTGTCGCCAGGCTATCACTACACTCTTGAGTGAACTCACACAGGAAAATGATAGAAGACAAAAACACTATCACCTCTGGGTGAACACTTTTCACAGAGTGATCACTCTATATTTGACCTATCAGCCCTCATCCTCAAAGGAAACCTAAACAATTTCAAAAGATGAGCAAGGAAACTTAAATTCAGAGTTTTGCTAGTCACTAAAAATCATGGACTGAATAGAGACACTGGATTTATGGTTTATTACAACAATCTATAAACCCACTAACAACTGCCCTCAGCCGCATTTTCTCCCCCTCCTTTCCTTACTATGACTGGAGGGGTGTTAACAGGCTACTTCACCTTGAATGGTCCATGAAATATGTGTTAATTACTTATGCTAAATAATCTATTCAAGCCTTGTATTTAGCAGTGACACTTTGAGTTAGGCTATGGCTGCACTACAGAGCTTACAGTGGCCGCTGTAGCGCTGTTAGTGCAGACACTCTAAGCTCACAGGAGAGAGGTCTCCCATCAACTTAATCACTCCAGCCCCACGAGTGGCAGTAGTTATGTTGGCAGGAGAAGCTTGCCCGCCAAGATAGCGCTGTCCACACTGGCGCTTAGGTCAGTGTAACTTACATTGCTCAGGGGTGGCTTATTGACATCCCTGAGCAACATAACTTATACCAACGTAAACTGTAGTGTGTACATAGCCTTACTTTCCCAGACCTGAATAGAGCTCTGTATAAGCTTGAAAGCTTGTCTCTCTCACCAACAGAAGTTGCTCCAGTAAAAGATTTTACCTCACCCACCTTGTCTTACAATCCTCTGATGGTCTGGTTCCTCAGTCTGGTTCCTCCAAACAACTCCTTCACTCTCTTGAGAAAGTCTTCTTTTTAAAACTGCTATAGCCCTTTTTGTTCTTCTGAGTACCTAGGCTTTGGCCTTGCCTTCTGGACCAAACCAGTCGGTATGCTCAGCAGGAGATAGAGCCAGTCTTCCAAACCAGTGGCTCTGTCATTGTCCCTTAGTAACTCTCAAGTGTTTTCTGAGGGTTGGCTTATCTCGTACCGTTCTTTAACTTCCTGTTTGTTTCTCCTTGTAGCCCCCCATTAAATTAAACCAATATTTTCAGACAGTAAACATTCCAATAACTAAAAGTCAACATACAGTATTCATAAATTATTACAGAATAGCTCCACATCCATCACACATGTATGTGTGTAGCTTTATTGAGTGAGATTACTCACTTGGGTGAAATTACCTCTGTGTATTTGTGGGATTAGCCCTTAACCATTGTATTATAACTGAGATGTTTCATGGGTATAAATTAAATATTATACATAGTTTATCACTGTTCGCACAGAAAACCCAAAAGCAAATATTTAAAATGTGACCTGAAAAGATAGGGACACATTGGGGTTTTTGCCTCTGCCAGATATGTAAAGAAGGCCTAAAAGGTTTGGCTTTTTAAAGTTGTCGGCTTGTTTTGCTTGTTTGCTTTAGAAATTCAGGTGATGTCTCACTGGAAGATTCTCCGCTGACTGGAGCATTAGTCAAGTTATGACATCAAAGATTAATAGATTCCAAGGTCAGAAGGGACCTGTAGAGAAGGGACCTGTAGCGAAGCGATGACTCACCAGCGCAGCACCTCCTGCTGGTCTTCTTGGGAATTAGCTCGTCCAGCACTCTGCGCGCCCTTTGCTGGCCAATGTCTCGCTTGCCTCAGGCCCCCCATGTCCCTCCCGGACCGCGGTGCCCCTTACCTTGGGGTTCTGCCCCAGCGAAACCCCACCACATTCTGGGTCTCCCCTCCCAGGGGAGCCCCCAACCCTCTCACCCACCTTGCCTCAGTGGCTACTGCCAGTCACCATCTAGCCCCCGTTCACTGGGGCAGACTGCAGTCTAATGTCCACTCATCATTGTCAAGGGGTTCAGAACTCTGCCTAAGCCCGGACTGCAGCCTCTGCAACCCCAGAACCTGTTTTGGCTTTTTCCCAAGGCCTGCAGCCTGGGGAGTTGCCAGGCTGGAGCTCCCCAGCTCCTCTTGCCTTTCCCCAGCCCTGAGCTCACAGGCAGCCAGGTTCTTCTCCCTCCAAGGCTGGAGAGAGACTCCTCCAGCTTCTGGCCCACAGCCCTCTTATCAGGGCCAGCTGGGTCCTAATTGAGCTGGCCACAGCTGTGGCTGCTTCCCCAATCAGCCTGCCTTGCTGCTTTTAACCCCTGTTCTGCAGGAGTGGGGCAGTCGTCCCACTACAAGACCATTGTGATCATCTACTCTGACCTCTGTACAACACCGGCCATAGAACTCCCTCAAAGTAATGCCTGTTGAACTAGTATATATATATTAAAAAAATCCAATCTTGATTTTAAAAATTGCCAGTGATGGAGAACCAGCCATGACCTTCGGTAAACTGTTCCAATGTTAATTATCCTCACTGTTAAAATATTACTTCTTATTTCTGGTTTGAATTTCCAAATCTTTTTCAGAGTTGCTGCTTCCCAAGATAGAGTCCTCCAAAAGAGTCAAGAGGCTGAAAGTTGCTAAGCAACTGCAACAGGAAGAGATTATTAGTCAGACTGCTTAAAGTTCTACTTTTTGTTTTTATTAATACTTATTTAAACCAATGACTAATGAACATTTTGAAAAAAAGTTGTACTTAATCATGCCCACACCTTCAATTAGAGCAATTCAGAACTTCCAGCAAAACCAAGGAAGAGCAGCCTTCACATTTCTTAAATGTATAAGGCTAAAAAACCAAAAGTACCTTCCAGGCCTTCTTTACATATAATAAAGAAGCGAAAAGGGCACAAGCCCAATTAAAAAAATTCCGTGTATGTCGCTTTTAAAACTCACAGACTTTTTTTTTATTTACTAACTGTTTTACAAATATTAGAACAGGGGTCGGCAACGTTTGGCATGCAGCTCGCCAGGGTAAGCACCCTGGCGGGCCGGGCCAGTTTATTTACCTGCTGACGCAGCAGGTTTGGCTGATCGCAGGCCCTACTGGCCATGGTTCGCCGTCCTGGGCCAATGGGGGCGGCGGGAAGCCACGGCCAGAACATCCCTCGCCCGCGCCGCTTCCCGCTGCCCCCATTGGCCTGGGACAGCGAACTGAGGCTAGTGGGGGCCGCGATCGGCTGAACCTGTCGCGTCAGCAGGTAAATAAACTAGCCCGGCCCGCCAGGGTGCTTACCCTGGCGAGCCGCATGCCAAACGTTGCCGACCCCTGTATTAGAATAATATCCTTTGTTATTACAGGATGCTATGGAAAGTTTTCAACAAGCATTAAAGATACTGACTTCTTCAGCAAAAATCTTGCCTAATACATTTGAGGCTGCAGAAATTTATTATTTCTTGGGCCTGTGCTATATGGAGCAAGTCAGTTTATTACAGGTATGTATTTATTATTTAGAACATATTAGCGTTGTGGCTTTAAGAGCTGGAAACAAGATTGTCTAAAAATTTAAAATATTTTAAAGGTTACTTTCCACTACTTTTTACATATTTTTACTCTGTAGTTTTTATCAGACCTTCTTGCAAATGTGTGAACAATTTTTTTCCATACCAGTATTACCATATTTAATTAGTTATGCATACCTTTTGCTGTGTTTCTAATGGCGGTGAAATCAACATGAATATCTTATCTGTACATTAATGTTCTCACTATTGTTGTTATAAGCAAAGTATGCCATGCTGTGGATAGCATCTTAGTTATCTGATTGCTGTACTTTTACAGAGGTTAAAAAAATCCCCCAGCCAACCAATCCTAAACTAGTTCAGTTTTTGGCATTTATTTTACACATGATATAAATCTTTTTTTAAACTAGGTATTTTTTGTTATGTAATTTAATACATTTTTCTAGGTGCATTTTAATATTAAAGGACTTTTTTGTTCTTTCTATGATTTTAACTACAGTTATAGGCTTGTTCATTAACAGTCTGATCCGAAGTCTATTGCAATCAATGCGACTCCTTCAGTGGGCTTTGGATCAGGCCTTATATGAGTAGGATCCATTTTATATATTAATAATGCCAACTTCAAAAAGCTTATAATCCCTAGCCTTCCCCTCATTTTGAAGCGTTACAAAATTGACATTAGAAAATCTTTTTAAGAGTGCCTTTTTGATTATTGTTGCATCTCTTTTCACCATTCTTTCCTATATTCTATTTTTAGAGCCTAGTCCTGCAAACATTTATGCACATTTATAATGTCTTTGACCTCAGTAGGATTAGTTATCATTATGTATTTGTATTTCAGTAGCACATAGCTGTCCCAAGCAAGATCGGAGTATATTGCTAGTCACTGTTCCAAAACACAATAAGAGATAGTCACTAGTCTGAAAAGCTTACACTCTTATGTAAACATGAAAGACAAGCGTGGGTGAAAGGGAAAATTATTATTATGCTCATTTTACATGTGGGGAACTGAAGAACTGAAAAATTAAATCCTTGATTCAGGAAAGCACTTAAGCACTTGTTAAGTTCATTCCTATTCAGCAAAACACTTCAGCATATGCATAAGTCCCATTGACATCAGTGGGACCTAAGCAAGTGCTTAAGTGTTTTGCTGAGTAGAGATGGGCCTATGCATGTTTACAGTAAAGTTCATGCCTACCTGCTTTGCTACATCCGGGCCTAAATTTACTTGCCAAGGTCACATAGAAGACTATGGTCACATAGAAGACATGGAAGAGCCAGAAATGTATGCAGAGCTCCTGAGTCCCAGTTTGGTGCCCTATCCACTAGGCCAAGGGTCGGCAACCTTTGAGAAGTGGTGTGCCAAGTCTTCGTTAATTTAAGGTTTCGCGAGCCAGTAATACATTTTACATTTACAGGGGCGGGCAGATGGAACCCCAGACTGGCAGCAGGCTGAGCCGCTCAGTCCGCTGCTGGTCTGGGGTTCCGTCTGCCGGCCCCTGCCAGGCGAGGTCCCAGCCGCCGGCCCCGCTCAGCCCGCTGCTGGCCCGGGGTTCTGTCCTTCCAGGCCAGCAGAGGGCTGAGCGGGGCCAGCGGCCGGGACCCTGGCTGGCAGCAGAGTGCCACTAAAAATCAGCTCACGTGCCGCCTTTGGCACACATGCCGCCGGTTGCCGACCCCTGCATTAGGCCAACCTTCCTCTCGTATGAGTAAAGATAAACAAATGTATAAGTGTTTACAGGACTGGATCTTTGACTGATATCCTTAGGTAGGAATCCTATTTTTGAATAGTGCCTAGCATGCTTCAGGCATTATTTCAACAATAACAATATAAACATTAATAATTTCTTTAGTCACAGAAGACCAGTGGATAATATCTACAGTATATTCAAAGTGTCACTATTATATATGACTAAAATTTGAAATGTCACCTGGAATAGGGACTTCCCTCATTCTAACTGTTCTGTTTTGGATAGAGAAGGGAGTAATATTTGAGCTGAATGGTCCTTCTGTTTTGTGGTTTACCTCCAAAATGGATCTGTTAGCTCAGGTTATCTCTAAATCTTCAGATCATAGCCACTTTAAATTCCCCATCTGACTTGATGTTTAGTTGTGAGGACAAGAGCTTATATCTGTATTACAGTGTTGTGAGACTCACCAAACATAGTAATATCACACCATTATTTTTATAACCCCGTTAACCTCCTTTTCCAAGACAGTTATAAATGATAGTCAAGAGTGGCTGAAATACCTGATGTGGCAGACCCTGACCACTAGGAATAGGTTACTTTCCCTTTAGAATATGTGGCTGCCACCACATTAGCAGATCCCAGAAAAATCTGTATTTTTATACTCCAGTATGAAAAAAAAAAAAATTTGCAGAAGGACCTTAAAGAAATCACATTTTAGGTGTTCTCTAATGTAACAAATAATTTTAGTATGTTAATTATTTATGGTCACAAGACCAAATTCTGCCCTTGGTTATACCAATGTAGTCTCACTGAAGAAAATGAAGTAAGATAAGTATTAAATGAGGGCAGAATTTCACTTATTGTGTTTGTCTCATATGTTGTATTAAAATTTAAAAAAGTAGGAGTAAAATAGTGAAAACACAAGAAAAAATATTACTGGGTTTTAAAAGATGATATTCTGTCTATGATTTCAATTGTGCAAGTGGATTACATTAATTCAAACCATTATGTCATCTTTTAGGCCTATGAAGCTTTTACTCTTGCTGTCAAAGTATACTCAAATTATTCTGATGCTTTTTATCAGCGAGGGCTGTGCAGAATGCAACTCAACCAAGCTAAGTGCATCCAAGATTTCAATCGAGCACTTGCCATTAATCCAAAACATTTTCAGGTAATACTGAATTTACAATTCTGATGGTTTTGTTTTGGGTAGGTTTTGAGAGCAGTTTTAAAGAATTCTGAAGTCAGAGCCAGTTAGGCAGGCAGAACTGCAGGTCTCAATGCGTGAATGAGATGTTGGTTTAGGGAGGAGGGGTTTAGATTATTAGAAACTGGGGAACCTTTTGGGAAAGGGGAGCCTATGCAGGAAGGATGGGCTCCACCTAAACCGAAATGGAACCAGATTGCTGGCACATAAAATTAAAAAGGTCTTAGTGCGGTTTTTATTCTAAGGGCTGGAGGAAAGCCAACAGGTCTGGAGGAGCACGTAGTTCCAACAGAGACATCCCTTAAGGGAGGATCTATTAATGGAGATTCTCCTTATCCTAGTAAGGAGGAGAGGATGGAAGATGATAAAATATGGGTAGGATCTGATGAAAAACAGTAAAATGAAAAAGAGTCCAATTCAATTACATCACATAATGACAGAAAGCTTAAAAAGTGACAATTTTTTAAAATGCTTATATACAAATACTAGAAATCTAAATACTCAGGGCTGGTCTACACTAACCCCCCAATTCGAACTAAGATACGCAACTTCAGCTACGTGAATAACGTAGCTGAAGTCGACGTACCTTAGTTCGAACTTACCGCGGTCCAGACGCGGCAGGCAGGCTCCCCCGTCGACTCCGCGTACTCCTCTCGCCAAGCAGGAGTACTGGAATCGACAGCGAGCACTTCTGGGTTCGATTTATCGCGTCCAGACAAGACGCGATAAATCGAACCCAGAAGTTCGATTGCTTGCCGCCGAACCAGCGGGTAAGTATAGACGTACCCTAAGATAGGTGAACTTGAGTGCCTCATATTAAATGAGGATATTGATATAATAGGCATCACAGAAACTTGGTGGAATGAGGATAATCAGTGGGACACAGTAATAATACCAGAGTACAAAATATATTGGAAGGACAGAATAGGTCGTACTGCTGAGAGAGTGGCACTATATGTGAAAGAAAGTATAGAGTAAAATGAAGTAAAAAATCTTAAATGAGCCAAACTGTACCATAGTATCCCTATGGATAGTAATTCCATGCTTGAATAATAAGAATATAGCAGTAGGAATATACTATCGACCACCTGACCAGGATGGTGATAGTGATTGTGAAATGCTCAGGGAAGATTAGAGAAGCTATAAAAATAAACTCAATAATAATGGGTGATTTCAACTATCCTCATATTGACTGGGTACATATCACCTGAGACAGGATGCAGAGATAAGGTTTCTTGACACCTTAAATGACTGCTTCTTGGAGCAGCTAGTCCTAGAACCCACAAGAGGAGAGGCAATTCTTGATTTTGGTGTTAAATTTTCAAATAAATTTTAGTTCTGCAGTTTCTCTTTGAAGGCTGTTTTTGAAGTTTTTTTTGTTGAAGTATGGCTACTTTAAAATCTGTTATAGAATGTCCAGGAAGATTGAAGTGTTCTCCTACTGGCTTTTGTATGTTACCATTCCTGATGTCTGATTTGTGTCCATTTATTCTTTTATGTAGAGACTGTCTGGTTTGGCCAATATACATGGCAGAGGAGCATTGCTTGCACATGATGGTATATTTCACATTAGTAGATGTGCAGGTGAATGAGTCCCTGATGGTGTGGCTCATGTGGTTGGGTCCTCCTCAAATTTAATGCCATTAATTTGGGCTTGAATAGGGACTGGGAGTGGCTGGCTCACTACAAAAGCAACTTTCCCTCTCTTGGTATTGACACCTCATCAATTATTGGGAGGGGACTCCATCCACCCTGATTGAATTGGCCCTGTCAACACTGGTTCTCCACTTGTAAAGTAACTCCCTTCTCTTCATGTATAATAATGCCGGCATCTGTAATTTTCACTCCAGGCATCTGAAGAAGTGGGTTTTTAACCCACAAAAGCTTATGCCCAAATAAATCTGTTCGTCTTTAAGGTGCCACCAGACTCTTCGTTGTTTTTGTGGAAACAGACTAACACAGCTACCCCCTAATTCTTGATTTAGTCCTCAGTGGAACACAGAATTTATTCCAAGAGATGAATATAGCTGAACTGCTTGGTAATAGTGACCATAACATAATAAAATTTAACATCCCGGGGGGAGAACATCAAAGCAGTGCACCACGGTAGCATTTAATTTCACAAAGGGGAACTACACAAAAATGAGGAAGTTAGTTAAACAGAAATTAAAAGGTATAGTGCCAAAAGTGACATCCGTACAAGCTGCATGGAAACTTTTTTAAGACACCATAATAAAGGTTCAATTTAAATGTATAGCCCAAATTAAAAAACATAGTAAGAGGACCAAAAAAGTGTCACCATGGATAAACAACAAAGTAAAAGAAGCAGAGGCAAAAAGGCAACCTTTAGAAAGTGGAAGTTAAATCCTATTGAGCAAAATAGAAAGGAGCATAAACTCTGGCAAGTGAAGTGTAAAAATATAATTAAGAAGGCCAAAAAAGAATTTGAAGACTGGCTCTTTTCAGCTTGGAAAAGAGATGACTAAGGGGGGATATGATAGAGGTCTATAAAATCATGACTGCTGTGCAGAAAGTAAGGAAGGAAGTGTTATTTACTCCTTCTCATAACACAAGAACTAGGGGTCACCAAATTAAATGAATAGGCAGCAGGTTTAAAACACACAACACACAGTCAACTTGTGGAACTCTTTGCCAGAGGATGTTGTGAAGCCCACGACTATAACAGGGTTCAAAAAAGAACTAGGTATATTCATGGAGGATAGATCCATCAATGGCTATTAGCCAAGATGGGAAGGGATACAAAACCATGTTCTGAAGTGTCCCTAGCCTCTGTTTGCCAGAAGCTGGGAATGGGTGACAGGGAATGGGTCACTTGATGATTACCTGTTCTGTTCATTCCCTCTGAAGCACCTGGCATTGGCCACTGTCGGAAGACAGGCTACTGGGCTAGATGGACCATTGATCTCAGCCAGTATGGCCATTCTTATATTCTTATGAAGTTCTTCAGATACTGATATATGTGAAAGACACAGTGTTGATCTCTTTTATGTATTTTCCTGACAGTTATGTCCTCCATGTGTTAATCACTCTTATTTATTTTTCTGCTGTTCTTCTGATGGAGAAATAATTAAGATTTGAGGATTTTGTTTACTTCTCTGTCTATACACCAGTAGCATAATTTCCATAAGAATACGTAGTGCTCTCGGTATGTTTTAGTTAACTATTTGAAGCAAAGTAGCAAAGGGAGTTCACACATTATTTTTTGTTGTGTTGCACAAAACAGTTATTGTTTTGTTGCAGTAGGGTGATGGATATTAAAAAATCTGGAGTACATTTTCCATCAGGTTATAACTGTGATGCTCCCAACGGAGGTGCAAGAACGTGAGTACCAACCTCAGGGCAAACCGTGAAAGAACCAGGACTCAAACCCCAAATTGGTCATTAATTCTAAACTTAGATTTCACCAACCAACTGCACCAAGTGCAAACTCCTCAGGCATATTAATACCCTTAAACGAAGTCACAGACAGTCTCCTTGGGTCCTCTGGTCTCTCTTGTCACTCAGCTGAGCATATCTCTGTGTGACAAAGTTCCTCCTCTATCTTGGTGGGTCCTGCGCTTATTGGCGGATTTTCTTGCCTCAGAGATTCACCATGTGGGTTGGGGAACAGCCCAGAGACCTTCCCCTCTGGGAGAACCCACAGTCCAGGTCAATTGGGAGGAACCCGGGCCCGCCCTCTACTCTGGGTTCCAGCCCAGGGCCCTGTGGACTGCAGCTGTCTATAGTGCCTCCTGTAACAGCTGCATGACAGCTACAACTCCCTGGGCTACTTCCCCATGGCCTCCTCCAAACACCTTCCTTATTCTCACCACAGGATCTTCCTCCTGGTGTCTGATAACGCCTGCACTCCTCAGTCCTCCAGCAGCACACCCTCTCACTCTCAGCTCCTTACGCCTCTTGCTCCCAGCTCCTCACACTCACACCACAAACTGAAGTGAGCTCCTTTTAAAACCCAGGTGCCCTGATTAGCCTGCCTTAATTGATTCTAGCAGCTTCTTCATAATTGGCTGCAGGTGTCCTAATTAGCCTGCCTGCCTTAACTGGTTCTAGCAGGTTCCTGATTACTCTAGTGCAGCCCCTGCTCTGGTCACTCAGGGAACAGAACACTACTCATCCAGTGACCAGTATATTTGCCCTCTACCAGACTCCTGTACCCCACTGGTCTGGGTCTGTCACATATCCCTCCCCCCTGCTCAACGCCAAGGGGTTGGGCAGCTTGGGACACCAGACAGTGCACACGTGACAAGCCATCGGCGTTGCCATGACGGCTCCCTGCTCTGTTGCACACGGAACTGGAAAGGTTGGAGGGATAAGAACCATCTGGTCACCCTTGTGTTCTTCTCCTTGTTCTGTTGCATCCATTGAAGAGGGGCATGCATCAGTCACGAGGACAAATCTGCGCCCAAGCAGGTAGTAGCGCAACGTTTCCATGGCCCATTTTACAGCGAGGCATTCTCTCTCCACCACTGCATATTTTTGTTCCCTTGGAAGGAGTTTCCGACTGAGGTATAGAATTGAGTGTTCCTCCTCCCCGACCATCTGTAATAGAACGGCCCCCAACCCTACTACCGATGCATCCGTCTGCAGGATAAACTCCTTGGTGAAATCAGGGGCTATCAGTACGGGGTTACTGCAGAGGGCAGTCCGTAGGTCTGTGAATGCTTCCTCTGCTGCGTCAGACCATCTCACCAGATCAGGTCCACGGGCTTTCACTAGGTCTGTCAGGGGGCTTGCCCTTGTGGCAAAGTGGGGGATAAATCGTCGGTAATACCCCACCACACCTAGGAATGCCCGGACTTGTTTCTTGCGACTTGGTCAGGCCAATTTTGGATGGCCTCTAACTTGTTCACTTGGGGTTTTACCAGACCTTTTCCCACAATGTAGCCAAGATATTTGGCCTCCGTAAACCCTACAGCGCACTTGGCAGGGTTTGCTGTAAGGCC